CCTAGAACATTGTCCTCTGTCCTGGGGCCACACCCCCATCCCAGCCCCCAAGACACCAGCTTTCTGAGCTTCTGGGTGGCAAGACTATGTTGGTCCTATTCGTTATCTGTACACCGACGTCTTAGCAGAGGATCTAGAACATAGTACAAGGTCCACGTGTTGATTGAATAAACACAGGAATGAATGTATGTATGGGGAACATCAGTGGGTGCTTCAGGCCCCAAGAGTAGGTGTCCCCTGGTCTGCTCAGGAGAGCCTAGGGAGCCCAGGATTTGCATCAGCGTTGTGGATGCAGAAATTAAGATCTGGGAGGTACACAGATGGCTGGGGTGAGGGGACGGACTCACAGCACCCATACCTGCAAGTGTAGACACCGAAGAGCCAAGTAGTAAATTCCACATTTATATTTGTACATCTATGGGAACACCCGTAAACCAGGGTTCACCAGCCACCTTATTTGGCCTGATGGCCCCATCTTCACGGAAACTCACAGGGTCATCAGAAGGTTCTGGGGAAGCATGGACTCTTTCCTTCCAGGTGTCTCTCTGCAATGTCTTTGATCTTCCACGACAAGGGGTGAAATGTATTGCCCCTCCCCTTGAATCTGGGCGGGTCTGATTGTGACTTGCTTTGACCCCCTGAGCCTGGTCCTTCGGGAGCACCGGCATTTCACGTTTACCTTCTTGGGAAGTTCAGCCTGACTACCCGATGAGAAGGATTTGGGTGGAGGGTGAGTCCATGTGGAGGTGTACCCCAAACCATAGCCAGCACCAAGTCCCCAGACCCAGGAGTGATGCCAGGCAGGATCCTCCACCCACCAAGCTACCCTAGCAGCCACCGCAAGGGACAGAGAGGATGGGCCATCCTCAGTGAGCAAAACTGTGAGCGTTAAGATGATTGGAAATGGTTTTCAAGCCTCTTGACTTTTGGGGTCGTTCGTATACACAGCAATGGACAACATTAAGAGACTCAATGCGAGAGGAAGTAGTTGGATTGTATAAAATGCTGGTATCGCTGAATCTGGAAAGCCCCCTGCCTCTGTGTCCACTTTCCTGTGGCTCTGCTATCAGGCTCCCTCTACTCCAAGTCTGGAGACACTCTTCTGTCTCTGACTCCTCCTTCTGGAAGCACCGGTCAGACCATCCCATCTGAGAACACATTTGTTGCTGTCTGGATCGAATGTGGGGCCCTGTTCAATTACAAGAGCACAGATGCATTGAAGCTACTGCGTTCTTCCTAATTTCCTAGAGTTATTTGCCTTCCATAATCCAGGCCCTATCACTAGGAGCTGATGATAAAGCAGAGAACCAGACTGACAAAGCCCTGTACTCAATGGGATTTACATTCCAGGATAAATTCAGATCGGGGAAGTCCGGGCTTTTGTCTTTTTATTTTAGGCACAAAAATAGGACCCGGAGCATCATTGCAGAAACACATACCATGCCATGGAAACAACCTGATAACCACTAACTTGCCCTACTTTCTTCACCCATCTTTGGAATTTTATACAAATAGATGACCAACAGTGATTCTTCCTTTATTTTTTAAGCAGTTTGGGATCACCTGACAGACGGGAGCCTAGAGAACCAGTTAAATAAAACCACAATTTATTTTTGTGTGTGGAATTTAATAGTTTTTAAAAAGATCTAAAGTATTCATCAAGGGGCGCCTGGGTGGTGTGGTTGGTTAAGCGTCCACTCTTGATTTCTGTTCAGGTCATGATTTCAGGGTCATGAGATCGAGCCCTGTATCAGGCTCCGTGCTCAGCGGGGAGTCCTCTGGAAGATTCTCCCTCTCCTCCTGCCCCTCCCCCCAACTCGCATGCTCTCTCACTCTAAATCTTAAAAATAAAAAAAGTATTCATCAAGGGGAAAAAAATCAGTACGTTTGTTATCGCACTTTCTAACTTTAAAAAAAAGTTTAGTAATTTATTTTGTCCCCCACTTCCCCCAGTTATGAGATGTAATTGACCTATAACATTGTGTAAGTTTAAGCTGCCCAAGATGATAAGTCTGTATCGCAAAATGATTACCATCATGTAAATAACATCCATCACCTCACAGTTATTTGTGTGTGTGGTGGTCAGAACTTTTAAGATCTATACTCTCGTAGCAACTTTCAAGTATATAGTATTGTTAATTATAATCACCACGCTGCACACTAGATCCCCAGAACTTATAATGGAGTTTCGTACCCTTTGACCACTTTCACCCTCCACCACCCCCCACCCCCAGAGTAACCACCAACCTCCTCTCTGTTTCTAGTGATGTGGTTTCGGAATATAGGTGAGGTCCAGAGCCGATAACCTGCTGGAGACGCCTTTGGTGCAAAAATGGTGGTTTATTAAAGCACGGGGACAGGGCCCGTGGACAGCTCCTGGGAGCTTGAGGACTGGTGATTATATACTTGGGAGTTGGGGGAAGTAAGGAAAAGGGAGGTTTCAAAAGAACTTTCATATGCTAAAGAGGACCGACCTACAAGATACCAACAAGATACTGGAGACCTTGCCATTGTCAAGGTAAGGATGTTTTCCCCTCTAGCAAGGTATTAACATTAAGATAGTTGGGAGATCCCGGGAAGAATGTCACACAGGTCCTACCCGGGGGTGGGGAGGAGGTTGCAGGGTGTCTTTGTCCTCAGCTTGCCTTCTCCCTCATCACTAGGAGTTCAGTTCTTTCTAAATTCCATCTATAACTGTGATCATACAGTCTGTCTTTCTCTGACTTCTTGCACTTAGCATAATGCCCTCAAGTTCCATCCAAGATGTTGCAAACCCTTGTTTGCTGACTAATATTGCTTTATATATATGCAATAATTATAAATGATACATGTTACATACTATTGCATAAATCTTTTATACAAACATTATGCATATTGTACAATTATAGTTACAAGTCTATATATTTATACAGGGATATACATACATATCTCACATTTTGTTTATACATTCACCCATCAATGGACACTCAGGTTCTTTCCATGTTCTGGTTGCTGTGAATAATGCTGCAGTGAACATGGGGTGCATATGTCTCTTCAAGACAGTGAATGCATGTCCTTTGGATATACGCCCAGAAGTGGGGAATTGCTGGATCCTATGGTTCTATTTTTAAATTTTTTTTTTTAAGGAACCTCCCTATCGTTTTCCCTAGAGGCTGCACCAGGTTACACTCCCACCAACCGAGCACAAGGCTCCCTTTTCTCCATATCCTCGTCAACACTTGTTTCATCTTTTTGATAAAACCGTTCTAACAGGTGTGAGGTGGTAGCTTGTGGTTTCCATCTGCGTTTTCCTGATTAGTGATGTTTAGCACCTTTGCACGCCACTTGTTGGCCATTTGTGGGTTTCCCTCAGAAGAAAAAGGTGTATTCCTTTGCCCATCTCTAAATTGGATTTTTTTTTTTTTTTTGCTATCCAGTTGCAGTTCCTTATGGATTTTGTGTATTAACCCTTTAACAGACACGATTTGAAAATCTTTTTGCTCATTCTGTAGGTTGCCTTTTCATTTTGCGGATCAGGTATTGTTTTTATTTAAAGATTTTATTTATTTGACCCAGAGAGCATGAGCAGGGGAAGCAGCAGGCAGAGGGAGAGGCAGGCTTCCGGCTGGGCAGGGAGCCCCAATGCGGGGCTCCAGCCCAGACACCCCAGGATCACGATTTGAGCCAAAGACAGACGCTCAACCAACTAAGCCACCCCTGTTGTTTTTGTTTTGAATACTTGTGGGGATGGCAGTGCCACAGCCCTTTCTCTGCTTAAGCGCCCCCCCCGCCCCCCAGGCGACAGTAGCCGAGGTGCTATTTCCCGGACCCTCACCAGCAAGGTTACTCCAAGTACAGAAGCTGCATTTTCATAGTTGTGCGCTGCTAGCCTTCCACGAGCCAGTTTCATATTTGGGTGCAGCTTCCAGGTAAACCCAACTCCCTGAGTCAGGGTGCTCCTGGTATCTCTAGAGGCTTTTTAACTGAAATCTCGCTCAGGCAGAAATCCTCATCAGCTACGCGAGGGGACAGTAAGTCCTCTAATGCTCTTCAAACGGCTTGTCCTGGGACCTCAACCCAGCCATGCCCCGTCAGCATCTCTTCAGCCACGGCAGGTCGTTTCAAATCATTTTACGTGGCTTGAAGCCTGTTCCTTCCCTTTCATTTTTGCCACCCTTTACCGAGCGCCTCATTCCTACCACTGCCCCTGGAAGCGCTTTCAAGATGTTACCAGGTGCTTTAGTTATAAAGACCTTAAAGCATAGTTACTCCCGCCCACTTTACAGATAAGGAAACTGAGGCTCACAGGTCAAGATCACCCGATTAATAAACGAACCAAGACTCTCTTGCTCCAGAGCTTGTTCTCTTAACCCCTATTTTTGCCTTTCTGTCCCAAAGACCGTAAAAACAATCATTTGAAGCCTGCATTCCCGCGAATCACGCCGGAAATGAAATCAGTGAACGTTCCTATGTTAACGCTCTCTGTAACCCACCTCCTCCCGTTTCATCCTAACAACCACCACAAGTAAGAACAAATCAGAGCTCCAAGGCCTGACCCGCCCAGCGGGACAGATCGCAGTCGCTCGAGACAGCGCTCTAGCGCCCTTCACCCGCCTCGAAACCCCCCAAATAGGCTCCCGTGCCAGGACGGCTCCTTCCGGCTCCGCGCTCCCGGAACTCCCGCCCCAGGCGAAGGGGAGTTTCCGGAAAGAATCGACACCAGGGAAAGCCGAAAGGAAGCAGGGGGCGGGGTCGTCCGGGGCCCTCTAGCCTGCGCCTACTCTATGGTCGTCGCCAATTGACAGGTCGCGAGGGGCAAGGCTCCTCTCTATTGGACGCGCGGCCTCGCGTAGGCGGGCAGCTCGGCTCGCGGCGCGCTGAATGGCTGGGCCTGCCACGCGGGGCGGAGGGGCGGGGCGTGGGGGCACGAGGAGCCGGGTGACCGGGCGCGTTAGGAAGGAGGCTGGTGCATGTGGGCTCTCCGCTCGGTGCTGCTGTTGCGCTCCGCGGCCGGGCGCGCCATGTCGCAGGGGCCCGCCCGCCGCCAGCGGCCGCCCAAGGACCCGCTGCGGCACCTGCGCACGCGGGAGAAGCGCGGCGCGGCGTGGGAGCCCGGGGGCCCGAACACCGTGTACCTGCAGGTGGTGGCGGCCGGCGGCCGGGATGTGGGCGCGGCGCTCTACGTGTTTTCCGAGTACAACCGGTCAGTGCGCCCCTCCCGGCCCGCGTGCTGCGCGCCGGGGTCCCCCACGCGTCACTCGTGTGGGATTCCGCTGCTGCAGCCGACGTTGGACCCTCGGGGGGTGGTGGGGGATCCCCGATGCCTTACATCCCACGCCCGTGGAGTTCCCGGGAGCCCCGGAGGAGCCCCAGACTTGGGTGTGAGCGTCCTCTTTCCAGCCCGGGGTCCCGAGGCCCCACTTGGCACACTTTGAGCCGCACTCGCTCCCGTGCGCCCCAAGACCGGGACCTCGTGGTTGGCGTGTGGGGTGTCAGGTCAGGTGAGGAGATGATGGGGGAAAGCACCCACCTTACCCCAGCATCAGCCTGTTAGGCCCCCAGTCCCATGCTGGCGTCTCTCAGGGAGGGCTCACCGGCAGCATCCTCACGCCAGAAATGCAGCCCAGTAGCCCAACGTGAGTTTTTGTTTTGTTTTTTGGTGTTTTTTTGTTTGTTTTCTGTAGTGTACAATAAAGCATCTAAAACCGCGGCAGAGATTTTACAGAGTCCCATCTTCTGAGTATCTTGCCTAATGTTTGTCCTGTAGGTACCTCTTCAACTGTGGAGAAGGCGTCCAGAGGCTCATGCAGGAGCACAAGTGAGTCAACCATTTTCTTTTGGGGCGGAGATGCTCGTGGGGGCTTCTCCATGGGGAGAGACAGGAGTGTTTTTAAAGCAGAAGAGAGGGTTCTTTGGTCCACTTGTTCGGTCCTGCTCAAATGTTTTGTCATTCTTAGGTTGAAGGTGGCTCGTTTGGATAACATATTCCTGACCCGAATGCACTGGTGTAATGTGGGGGGGTTGTGTGGTAAGTATATTCTTTCTGAGGTCAGAGGCTGGGATTTTAGTCAGCCTTGTTCCCCGCCCCCCCATCTTCCAAGTCCAGGGGAGCTGGAATTCTTTCTACGCTTGCCCTGTCAGCCACAGCTTGGAAAGCTGTGACTCAAAAGGACAGATTTGGACATGAATGCTGCTTCCAAGCATTGTCATCTACTCTGTTTATTGAGTTGCTGGACTGGAGATACGTGCCAGTAAACTGGAGGATATAGTGGGTTACAGGACACGCACTTACCACCGAGACTCTCGCCGCCACACACACATACCCGCTCTCCGGATTACCCCATTGTGCATGCCCACCAACGAGGAAGGTCAAGATTGTGTCGCTGCCAAAGTCCATAAGCTTTGTGACATGGATAGGAGGGAGTGCAGCATTGAGCCCTTCCCGTTCTCAGAGCTGAGACCCTGCAGGGCGAGGCAGTGAGGGGCCTGGGCGACAGAATTTAAGGGCGTCCCATCATTTGGTGTGATTTTGCTTCCCGGGTGCCTCACTGCCTCGCCCCAGTCTCAGCCCTGCCCATTCTGGAGGCATCTGAGGAATATCGGGTGTCCCCTACACCTCCAGCAGGAGTCACTTCTGCCCAGGGCCCGTGATCACTGTGCAGAAGCAGGAATGAAGACAAGTAGAGCTGTAGCTGGTTAAGTACGGAGTGGGCCTCCTGGTGGCAGCTGCAGCCACCGTGATGAGACAGCTGATGTTCTTTCTCCTTCCAGGAATGATTCTTACCTTAAAGGAAACTGGGCTCCCAAAGTGTGTGCTTTCTGGACCCCCACAACTGGTGAGTCCCTCCTGACTCAGCTTTCAGAGCCGACGCCTCCTTTTTTTGTGTCAGTGACAAGCATTTCTGTTCCTGCAAATTCGTCTTTGGCCCTCCAGAGTTAACAGGTGGTGGAGCCTTTCCAGTTAAGGAGACCTGAGTCCAAAGCCGGATTAACTGTATGACCTTGCACCAGTTCCTTTATCTCTTAGAGCCTCAGTCTATTCATCTGTGAGATGGCTGTGAATTCCATAAAGTTGCTAAGGATTTCACGAAATACACATAAAAAACACCGAACCAACTTATTACATGTTGGGCACCAAGGAGGCCCACAGGGAATGTTAGCATTTATTTTTATTACATTTCAGACCTCTTCATATCTTCCAGAACAGCTTCTGAACATTGTTGAGAAGCTGTGTGCACATTGTTTACACTGCTGGCTGACCATTCATTTCCCACTTGGTAAGATGAAAGGTGGGCGCCTGGGTGGCTCAGTGGGTTAAGCATCTGCCTTTGGCTCAGGGCATGATCCCAGGGTCCTGGGATAGAGCCCTGCATCGGGGCTCCCTGCTCAGCAGGGAGTCTGCTTCTCTCTCTCTTAAATAAATAATATATTAAAAAAAAAAAAAAAGGTGAAAGGTAACCAGTCACCAAGGTTCATTCTGTCTCTAAAATAGTGCCTCAAATCCACCCATTTGTCTCCTCCGTAAAGCCTTCCCTGTCTACTGTGACAGCTGCATATCCTTCCCCACCCCCCGCAACAGTAGCCAGAGGAACCTCTGGGCATATGTGTAGGAGTGTCACACCCAGAACCCTCGGGGCTCCTCTGCAGGGCAGCGCGAACAGCATTATCGGGCCTGCACTGCAGAGAAGTTGAGTGTCCGACTTGGCATCTGTCTCCAGTCTCCCCGCCGGAGCTCCGTGGGCCACTCTCGGCCCTTCCCTGAAGCCCCTTCCCATCCCACGGCTTTGCTTCTGAGCTTTCAGGGCTCCGCTGAAAGGACATGCCACTCAGGAACCCGCCTGACTCTCCAGACAGGTGCCCCCCTGGCCCCTGTGTCTCTCCAGCTTCTTGCAGATCCTTAGCACAACTGCTGCTACCCAGCTGTCCATGCTCATCTGTTTCACTTCTCTCGCCAGTGGATTTTAAGTTTCACGAGGGCGGGGACCGTGTCCCCTGCTAAACCCTTGGTACCTGGCATATAGCGGACACTGTAAATATTTGTGTAAAGGCGGTTCAAAATACTAAAGTTCATGTTGATGCCTCCTTTTTTTTTTTAAAGATTTATTTATAACTGAGGTGATGGATGTTAGCCACATGGTGGTAGTCATTTTGCAATATAGACAAATCATCATCTTGTGCAGGTTAAACTTACACAATATTATATGTCAATTACATTTCAATAAAGCTGGCAGGGGGGACAAAATAAACTAACTTTTTTTTTTTAAAGATTTTTCTCATTTGACAGAGAGAGACACAGCGAGAGGGGGAACACAAGCAGGGGGAGTGGGAGAGGGAGAAGCAGGCCCCCCGCTGAGCAGGGAGCCTGATGCGGGGCTCGATCCCAGGACCCCAAGATCATGACCTGAGCCGAAGGCAGACGCTTAACAACTGAGCCACCCAGGCGCCCCTAAACTAACTTTTTTAAAGTTTTTTTTTTTCTTTAAGATTTTATTTATTTGATAGAGACATAGGAAGAGAGGGAACACAAGCAGGTGGAGTGGGAGAGGGAGAAGCAGGCTTCCCGCCGAGCGGGGAACCCGATGCGGGGCTCCATCCCAGGACCCTGGTATCATGACCTGAGCCAAAGGCAGATGCTTAATGACTGAGCCACCCAGGCACCCCATGGTTTTTTTGTTTTGTTTTGTTTTTTTAAAGATTTTATATATTTATTTGAGAGAGAGCACAAGCAGGGGGAGGGGCAGAGGCAGTGGGAGAAGCAGGCTCCCTACAGGGAGCCTGACGCAGGACTGGATCCCAGGACACTGGGATCGTGACCTGAGCCCAAGGCAGACATTTAACTGTTTAACTGACTGAGCCACCCAAGCTCTCCATCTACTAACTTTTTAAAAAAGAGAGTACAATAAAATACTGATTTTTTTTTTTCCTTGATGGATACTTTTTAAAGATTTTACTTATTTATTTTAGAGAGTACGTGTGCAGGTGAGTGGGGGTGGAGAAAACAAGAGAGAGAGAGATAGAATCTCAAGCAGATTCCCCACTGAGCACAGAGCCCCACGCAGGGCTTGATCTTAACGACCCTGAGATCATGACCGGAGCTGAAATCAAGTCGGACACTCAACTGACCGAGCCACCGAGGCGCCCCTATGTTGATGCCCTTTGATAATTCTTGCATGCTGCCGGAGCATTCTGCCTTTGTACAACCATAACTGCTTCTTTCTTTGTCTTTTGTAGGAAAAATACCTAGAAGCTATCAAGATATTTTCTGGTCCACTGAAAGGAATAGACCTGGGTATGTTCCTGAGTCTGACTCACCATCTGCCATTTCTTTCTTATATATGCCCCAGTCTCCCAAACTAGAATCCATAAAACTTGGACTAAATTAAGCCTTAACATAAAATGCTTCATCAATGAGATGAATTTTGAAAATAGTGCCTGTTGCAATTCCTGTGCCCCCGCGTCGTGCCCCCAGATATAGTTTAGAGGTGGTTCTCAGTCGAATTGCTCCAGCGGAGCTGGGAGGCACGTGGCCTCTTCCTGGGGAGAGGCCTAACCAAGGAGGCCAGCAGGGCCCCGTCCTGAAGGCCGCGTGCCTCCCCGGTTTGTCAATGCACCTCTTCAATAGAAACACTAATATTTTACTTCAAATTGAATTCCAGTTCTTACAGTTGAGATGGTCGACTCCCTGGCCTCCCAATGCCGTGTGTTAACTTATGCCTCTTAAATTTGAGAATTGGTTTTTTTAATTAATTTTTTAACAGGTAGTTATCATATTATGTGTTTTTTTTTTAGCGTAGTAAATCTTAACAGCCGATGAAAGTACGTGGGTGCTTCTTTCCTAAAAATTGTTATTTATTCAGAGATTCTGGGTTTAGTGTAGATTCCCAGCCATCTTCCGGGGTAAATCAGTTGCTGTGGTTGGTGATCGGAAAGCTCATTTTTCCCCAGTGTGTTTGTCCAGTACGATCACTGTCCTTGGTCTTTCTCGTGCAGCTGTCCGGCCCCACTCGGCACCAGAGTACAAGGATGAGACCATGACTGTCTTCCAGATCCCCATATACAGTGAGTGCGCAAGTCCCATTTCCTAGCAGGAGGGAGGGCTGCAGGTCCCAGGCAAGGAAAATGTGGGGTAAAGATAGAAACTGCTGGAATATTGGCGCTGTGTACCCAGTTTTGTGTTTCTGAATATGATTAGGAAATTTAGCTGAGAAATTAAGACATGGTTCCTGCCCTTAGGAAGCTTATAATTTTACAGACAGACACGTTTAGCCCCTAGGTAACGATCATGGTTATACTTTGGGATGTTATGTAATCAAGTAGTGTCAGAAAATAGACAGCTCTCAGATGTACACATTTACTGCTTCGGGTTTATTTGCCGCAGGTGTAAGTACCCCTTTGGAGAGAGGTTGCTGGAGAGGTTTGCACTGGTAACCCTTTTCCATAAATACTAATGCTGTTGGAAGCGTTGTGAGCAGGTCAGAAGGTCTCATGAACCTTCATAGGCCCCAGGGCCAGATGGTGTGGTTTTGACTTAGGGACACACAGTCGATGGGTCAGGCCAGTCACACTCCACGCCGGGTTTTACCGGTTGCTAGGAGAACACAGGACGCTGGGGACAGTTCCTTGACACTCCTCTGATGCCTGCCAAGTGCTGAGGGGACACAGATCAGAGCGCCCAGCGAGGGGCAGAGAAGTCCGGCCCTGGCCAGGAGACGAAGCTTGCAGGGTGCCGGCAGGGGGTGGGGGTGGGGGGGTTTCGCTTGAGCAGAGGCAGACGTGCTTGGGGGTCAGTGAGCCAGCCGGTCACATCAGAACTCTCCCTGCCTGGCTCGCTCCTGGTCCGATGTCTTCTCTTCCTGACCCCTGCCGACCCCTGGGCCTGATTTGCGTCCCTCGCTGTTCCTCCCTTCCTAGCACGTGACAGGTGGCTTCTCCATGAGGCTGTGGCCCGTGCTGGCTGGGGGACCCTCGGCCTAGGTCTGTCTTCTGGGACAGTGCTGGTGTGTCAGCTGGCCTGCGGCTGTCGTAGGAAAAGGCAGGCTGCCTCAGTGGGCGCTCTGCTGCTGACTGGTGGGAACAGTGGGGCTCTGGCCGGGCGCTCACCTCCGTGGCATGGGGTTTGATTGTCTTCCCTACCAACCAGGTGAGCACAAGTGTGGAGAACGCCGGTCATCTCAGAGTCCAGAACGACTCAGTCCAGGGCGGTCTTCGGATTCCGGATCTGCTGAAAAGGAGCAGCACCTTCCAGATGGTAACGCTATTTACACAGAACAATGCCCCTGTCAAGAGAATGGTTTTCTTTTTTAAAAGATTTTATTTATTTATGAGAGAGAATGAGAGAGAGAGAGCATGAGAAGAGGGAGGGTGAAAGGGAGAAGCAGGCTCCCCACTGAGCAGGGAGCCCGATGTGGGGCTCGATCCCGGGACTCCAGGATCATGACCTGAGCCGAAGGCAGTCGCTTAACTGACTGAGCCCCCCAGGTGCCCCAGAGAATGGTTTTCTTAGTCTCCTGTCCCTTCACGTGCCAAAGTGGCACTGTTAGCCCGTGTGTCAGACAGGTCCGTCCTCCTCGGTGTGCTGTGGGACTTGGCGAGTGTGGGGGGGCAGGTTGCCGTGAAGGTAGCAGTACAGAGCTCTGGGGCTGACCCCCAGCCCTGGCTGGGTCCTAGACTGTGTTCAGTGTCCCCAGAGGAGGGCAGGGTCTGGCAGATCGGTTCCTACAGAGGCTTTCGCGTTTTTCATTAATGCAAAGGAATTTTTCACGAATGCAGAAAACTGAGCCAACCAGTCGGGTCAGTGAGGGGATTGGCCCCCTTCTCTTCCAGAAGGACAGCCTGCTGAGAAGTGGAGTTAAAAATCCCAAGCTTAGATGTGTCGGAGGACTAGGACCCCTTCGGGGGCTGTGGTCCAGTGTTGGGAAGGGCTGCTAACGTTCCTCCTTCTGCCCGGATCGTTTTCTGTCTGATGACCGAGAAGGAGCTGACCCCGGGAGCCATCCTCCCTGGGATGGCCGGCTGAAGACCCACCGAGAAGGGGCTGATCCCGGGAGCCGTCCTCCTTGGGAAGGCCGGCTGAAGACCCACCGAGAAGGGGCTGACCCCAGGAGCCGTCCTCCCTGGGATGGCCGGCTGAAGACCCACTGAGAAGGGGCTGACCTCGGGAGCCGTCCTCCCTGGAAGGCCAGCTGAAGACCCACACCCGCATTTTCTCTGCAGGCCTGTTGGCTTTTGTGGTGTTTCGCATACGCTTGTTTAGAAAGCACCTTACAACTTATTTTTTCTCTCTCCTCCCCATCTGGATAAAATGGGTCAGTTTTTTCAACATTTCACTAGCTAGTTCTAAAGTTTTTCCCCCTGGCGATTTGTGTTTTCCGTTCACTCCCACCTCGGGTGTGAGTAAGAAAAAGAACAGGTCTGCGGGGGAAAGAACACCAGTGTTTCCTTTGACTTTTCTATCAAACTGTCATGTCCATTTAATTTGGCCCGAAGCCGAACTAAACTTCAGACGATCATCGGTCTGTGAAGCCCATAAACCTTCCCGTTTGCCTTGTTACAATCAGATGTGTTTTTTTTCTCAGGTATTGGCCAGAAAAAGAGCGGCAGGGACCCCTCCTTGGTTGTAGCTTTTGTCTGTAAGGTAAGCAAGCGCCTCTCCCGTGGGCTTTTGGCGAGTGTGTGATGGTGACCCTCGGTTAGCTTTCGTCCAGTGACTCAAAGCTAGCGGCTCCTAAGTCCCCTGGTTTATGTTTGCCTATGATTGGCCGCCTTGCCCTTGAGAAATAAAGGTAGCCTTGTTTGCCTTCAGGTGAACTGAGCCTTCGTTCAGACTTCTCCAACTCTGTTTTACTTTGTGTCATTTTACCGTAGCTGCAACCACTAGCATTCCCAGAGGCCTGTGTCCGCAAATCTGAAGTCGGTCCGATTCTGTGAAAATTCTATTACCATAGGGTGTTTTAAAAATTGGACGAATGGCCTCGTTTTAATAGGGCTGTGCGCTAAAATCTGATTCTCTGCAGCAAACACTTTCATCTGCGGTTAAGGCCCTTCGTTGTCCTTTTGTGGGCAGTGGTTATTTTCTGAGGAGTAATGTTGACTTTAAAATATATTTGCACTTCTTATCCAAATGATCACACCCACCAGGGATAACCCTTCCGGAAGGTCAGCAGTAATCGTTATTAGGTGCGAGATCATTATCAGTATCCCGTCTGTCATTGTATCTCAGTAGTAGTTTTTATGAAAGTGAAGGATGGTTGTTGATAGGCTTGTTCCTTGTGTGTTTCTGAATTTTGGGGCAGCAAAATAATTTTCCAGGTAGGTTTCTCTGGTCATCTGTAATTGTATTAGGTCCTTCCCGCCTTCCTCGGTAGAGGCCTTGGGGTGGGATGGCTTGTGCTCTGTGTGCCGGGCCACGCACCCCTGTAGACCCTGGCTGTCCTGGGCCTCGGGGGACTGCATTCTGCTTCGCCTCTGTGTTCCACATGCCCCGCACCCTCGGTGGGAACAGTTTCTCGTGGGTTGAGCCCAGCTCATCGTAGAGGGAGGGGTTTTGCCTGCCTTAGGTCTGCAAGTCCCTGTGAAACGTTAGAGCACTTGGTTGCCATCCTGAAACCCATTTGGGTCTGTGGAGGGAAGGTTGGGTCACAACAGGCCCTGCTAACCTCATCATCTAAATATGTCATTGGAGCTCATCACCTTTGCATTATACGCACACACTTAAACTGTAATCCCTCCTCTAGGATAGCATTTGCCAAGCCAGAAAATTCTAGAATCCTAGTAAGGCTTGAGGATCCAAATCGGAGACTTTGCCCTAAGAGTAATTTCCTTTTAAAGATCTAAGGAAGAAAAATGAAAATTGAATGTAATTCAGTACTCAAAAATTTATTAACATTTTATGTGCTTTCTAATTTTTATTATTACATATGACATAAATACACGTTTTCAGGGACAGAATGATTGATGATTATGAGGTTTTGTGGCAGGACTGTCGTCCACCCTTGTAACATAATAGCATATCGGGGATTGTTCATTATAGCTTTCCTCCAGGGTAAAAGCAACACCGTGTTGCAGGTCTGTGAAAACCACCAGGGAAAGACCCTCCACGCTTTGATTGCCCTGTCCCTGTCATTGCAATATTATGTCGGACAGGGATCGGCATGGTTGGGTCACGTCCTGTTAGCTCCTACACGCCGAGTGCAAGACGGTGGGACAGGGATGTTCGTCCTCAAGGACACACGAAGGAGCCTTTTTGTTTGATTTGGAAATGGATCGCATTTTATTACATTCATAAGAAGTTAACGTGGGGAAATAAGGCCCCGTGCTTTACATCGTTCAGCTTCCAGTCCTGGAGTATTTCAGAATAGAGGACTTCTTCGCGAGATAGCATGGAACATAGAGTACTTCACCTCAGAGCAGTGCCCGGGCTGCATTTTGAGGATCGGGGAGAAGGTGACACGAGGGAGTAAAACCAGAACGGCGTGCTTGGATGGAGGCTGGGAAAAGCCCGGCTGCCTCCTTCCTCCCTCGCTGAGGTGGCGTTTACGTTCTCTTTGTCACAGCTTCACGTGAAGAAGGGCAACTTCCTGGTGCTCAAAGCCAAGGAGCTGGGCCTGCCAGTGTGAGTGCCGGCGGGGGGCGCGCCGTT